ACAGCTTGTGTTTGTTGTTTTGTTGATGAAATCTCGATTAATAAGAATTTTATATATTTTTTTATAAAACTTGCATGGGTTTTTTACTAGTAATCGTATACTACTACTAGGGTTTTTTCTAGAGAAAAAAATGCAAAAGGTGAGCACTGCAATTCAGTGGAGCCAACCAAGTGGGGGAGATAGGGTTCTCCTTACCAGGGTGTGGAGTTTTTGATAATTCTAAAATGGAGCATTCTATGGCTTCCTTGGGGCCAAAATTACTATCAGACAGGTAACAATTGAAGATTACAGCCACATCAGCCCTGATGAGCCCTGGTCAATCAGAATTTTATGGTTGCCAGAGGATCTGCTCTCCAGTGTAAGGGCGTGCATGGCCATGGCATGAGGGCACTGCGCCCCCTATTCCCTTGTTTAAAAAAAATCCCTGCTACTACTACTAGTAGTCTACTGCATGATCTTTATTATTTCTCGTCTGATTTTAGTTTAATGTAGATTGTTTGGGTGTTTTTTATATTTAATTGTCATGTAGAGGCACAGTCCCTCTATCACTAGAGGGACTGTGGTAGAGGTAACCATTTATGTAACCATGGAGGGTCTTTCACCTCCATGATGTAACCATTCTATGTGTTTCAATACAGTACTAACAATACAGATTACCTGACACCATGGAGATAATTTAGCCCTATACTTACAGCATTGTAAATACAACCCATAGGGAGTTTAGAGTTTGTGGAGAAACCGTGGGAACCATTGACCTAGGGAGTACCGATCCCCAAAACGTTGCCAGGACCAATCACAAACAATATTTTTTTTTTTTTATTAGACGCATAAAATCTTTAGGAAAGGATAAAAAGGGTCTTACAGAAAAAAATTAAAACAAACTACAATCTAAAAAATAAAACAAAAAATAAAAACTTTTCTAAAAATTAAAACAAATCAAAAACAATAAAGACAATTTGCAGTCAATGGTGAATACAGAATATAGAATGAACACAAAATGTAGCCTAATACACTGATAGTTGTTGCTGTTTTGTTCCATAGTTGTTTTTTAGGAAGACTGCTAAGGCTGATGCTAGAGTATGGTTTGCCATAATCAAAATGAATTTATTCTGACTATTTTCTTTATCAAAATTTGGAACTTTATTTTGGGCAGTCAGGAATAATTTGTCCCTATGGTGACTGTAAGCTGGACATTTCATTACAAAATGTTGCTCATCCTCAATAAT